AGTGCTGTGGTTATAAAGTGTTACACATATGGAAGTTTCTAAAACTAAAATAGGAGACAAAGCCTCTCAAATTTTATGATCAAGTTATGGATGTAAATGAAGCTGGATTATTCTGTTTCTCTACAAATTTGGTTCTAGAGGCCTCAGGCTGTATCAATCCATTAAAAAAAAGTAAGCAAACGCAAGCCAGATCTCTGAGATCTTATTTAGCTTATGGGAGTAAGTCTAATATATCAAAAGACCAATGGTAAAAGGTATTAGTTTTAAGGTCTTTAATGAAAACAAAATTTCTTTTGCATTTTTAATATTATTGTGAACACACAGACAATATTGCAGTAGCAAGTTAATACGTAGGTTGGAAGCAGAGGTAGGAAAGATCAGTAGACATATAGATATACTTTGGTTTTTGCAGAAATTTGAGAAAGATTATAACTTATAGCATGCATGTTTATTTTATTGAAGGCTTTCGTCTTTTGATTTGTTTGTTTTGTTTTGTTTTTCAAAGAACAAATTCCAAAGAATTCTGATAGAAAAAATTTGAAACCCTTCATGAAAGAGTTAGAGCAATGATTAAAATATATTCCTATAATATGGCATATTAATTGATTTTTTAGCTGAACAACAATAAATAAAAAACGAGGCTCTTGACTTTATGCAATTTAGCAAATGAATAAAATTTCTCTCAAGATAACACTTCACATAAAAAAGTAGCAAAATATTATTTATTGTCATAATTCAATTTAAATTTACTTCCAAAATTTTTTGGCACTTTTGCTTTATATTTGCAAGTAGTTCCAAGACAATAAAGAAGACAAACCTTGAAAAAATATAATTCTTCATCAAAGTTCTCTTTTGCTGCAAGTTCGCAACTTAAACTTACTCTTAATGTTGCTTCTTCTACTTAGTAATAGTAGTAATGTTGTTTCTTTTACTTAGTAGTATTTCCAAACCATGACAAAGTGCCAGCGTACTGTTTTTTATTTTCTATTTTAATATGTTTCATCAAAATCATTTTGAATTATTCCAATACAGTAGTAATTGTCTGAAAGAGACTTAGCTTCTAATTGCATAAACTGTATGTATTCTATCCACATTTAAATTAAGAAAATGGGAAATAGAGATTCATTTGGCCCAGAATTAATTCATCTCTCTTACTCTTTGTGTTAATCTGCTGACTATAAATGGGTCACCTTTGCTTTCCTTTGGGGTTGTTAGTCTTGCTTGCCTACTTAATTCCAAAGCAATAACCTGGGGCTTGACATGTTACTTTAAAAAGCACAATACCACTTCTTGACTATTTCCATATAAGTATGCTTAAATACTCCCCAGTTCTGTGCATTTTGAAATTTTTATTTGAAATCCCAGTGACAAGGCTTTTAAAATTTGATGTAATGCTTTTAAAATAACAGTGATAGTACAATATATTGGGGAAAAGCTAATTTGTCCAAAGAAATGCATCTTTTATCTATTATAACAAATTATTTTATGTAGAGTTTGTATCCAAGAATACATTTTAATAATATTTGCCTATTAAAGAGAAAAAAATCACCATAAAAGAGTTCTGTAGTAAACCATATAAAAAAGGGCACAATAGAAATACTATAGGAGAATTCTAAGCAGGTACTATATGTATGTACGTGTGTGTATATACATGTGCATGTGTCTGTGTGTGTGTATATATGCTGTGCCTGCAAACCAGGGTAAGTTTGTGAATTGATAAATAATAGTACCATGCCCATAATTATGTGGAGCTAATTATATGTCACTATCTTTCAGGTATATAAAAAAAAGTTAATGAAAATAAACACAACTCATATAACTTCCTGAATTATTCAGAATTAACTGAGGAGATGCACACTGCAAAATACTTTCCAGGGTGTGGATAATGTATTATGATCAATAAGCAAATACTGTCTAACTTAAAACTGAATTTAAGAATGCATAAAATTGGCTGGCTCCATCATTTATGCAAACGTGCATGTCTGATGAGATTTGCATTGTAGTGGAAAATGCAACTTCTTATCTCCACAATTTTAGGAAATATAATGCTTGGAATATTGTATGTGGTGAATCCTTGATAAAAGAGAGAAAAATAAATAATTGCTGAACTATTTCACTAAAGGGCCACAGGTCTAGCAATTCATTATCTTACCTGGTTTTTCATCTTTATCAAGACCATTAAAAAAAATGAACAAATAAACAAACAATGAGCATTTCTTTCTCTACTGCTTAAGACAGTTCAGGCTGCTGTAACAAAACACCATAACTGAGTGGCATAAACATTTACTTCTCAGTTTTGGAGGCTAAAAAGGCCAAGATAAATGTTCCTGCAAATTAGGTATTTGGTTGAATCCCTGCTTCCTGGTTTATAGAGGGCAATCTTTTCAGTGCCCTCACATCACAGAGGGAGGAAGAAAAATCTCTGGGGACACTTGTAAAGACACGAATCCCATATAAAAGGGTTTCATCTCATGACCTAATCTAATCCTAATGCCTCCGAAATGATTCATCTTCTAATACAATCACATTAACGTGTCAGGCTTCAACATATGAATTTTGGAGGAACACAAGCATGTAGTCCATAACATATACCAAATATTCATCATGAAAACTGTACCACCTACTTTGACATTTACGCAGATTTCTGTGACTAAATTTAATTTATTTAATCCTGTTTATTAAACTTCCTAAGTCAATCTCCTTATTTACTTGTTTAAAACTCTGAAAGGTAAACTTATCCTTGGTATACATTTTTAAAGAGGCTGGAAAATTCTAAATTAATAAATTTCGAGCATTGCATAATTAGCATCACTTTGAATATTATTCATATAAAAATTGGATTAGAATGTGTGTGTAAAAGTAGGTAAATTTTAATTTTAAAAGTCCTTAATTTTTTGATTTAGTAGTTTGAAACATTTTATCATTAATAATATTAATGAAACAACTTATGAAGAGAAAGGAGTTTTTTTCAATAAAAATCAAATTACTAATGTACCAATAGAAAAACATAGAAATATCTTAATTTCCCCAAATTGAATTGTAAGGAAGGCAAAAAGAAATTAATTTACTTGTACTCAACAGAAAGTTGATGAATATTTTGGTTCAGGTTTACCTGTGTCCAGCCCTACTTCTATTGCAATTACTGTCATTTCAATTTCCATGCAGGTGTTCTTCCCAATAACCAAAGCTTTTTTCCTCCAATGACTTTGTCCTCCACCTTGACTTGGTCACTAACTCCTATGGATATCATTGATTTTATTACCACATGCAAACCCTTGTGTCAATGGAAAAAACTCTGTAGCCAAACTCTGTAAAATAATTTTAAAGAGATTTATTCTGAGCCAAAATTGAGGACCATGACCTGGAGCCATGCCCAAGAATCCTTGAGCTAATGGACTTGCTGTGGTTGGGTTATAATTTGGTTTTATACATATCAGGGAGATAAGGATTACAGGTAAAGTCATAAATCAATATGTGGGAGGCATACATTGATTTGGCTGAAAAGATGGGCCATCTAGAGGGTGGAGGTGGGGGGCTCACAGGCTATAGATGGGTTTAAAAATTCTTTGACTTGTAATTGGTTAAAGACATGAAGCTTTGTCTAAAGGCTTGGAATGTTTTAAGATAAGGAGGTCTGTTAATCACAGACAAGCCATAGGACATATATTTGTTGTGCAAATTGAGGGCCTACAGGTTTGTCTTGCATACCCTTAGGCCTGTTAATGGGTTACAAAGGATGTCTCCAAGAAGTTGGGGGGCATGAGGCCACAAGTCTGACCTCCCTCCTCCTGGCAAGCAATTTAGTTTTGGCCAAGAGGGGGTCTATCCCCTTGGCCAAGAGGGGGTCTATTCAGTCAACCTGTCGGGGAGCCTTAAGATTTTATTTCAGTTCACACTTGGTAATCTCAGTTTTGAGTCCCACTTTTGCATATCACCTTTTATTTTTCCATCTTGCTATCTGTAATTATTATAGTCTTGTAACCATTAGTTTCTATAAAAATTTCAGTCCTACTTATCTCACTTATCTCCACTGTAGTACACCATCACTCAGAATCGCATTACCTATATTAGAGTCCAGATCTTATCATTATAATCATTCTTCCATATGTATACTCAATTTCTTTGCTCTCTTTCACAATTTGTGGAAAGAACCAAATCTGATTCAGTCTCACTTTCTACTTCTTTGAGATGTTAATTCCCAGATGAATGTGGCTAAAGAGAAACAAGCAGTCATGCTGATTATTCTCCTTTGAAATGTAAACAGTGTCAGATGAGCCCCTTTAATACTTTTTAACAAATCATACTATATTTCCTTTTTTAATTCACTATTTCACTTCCCCTACGTTTCAAATCTTTTATCCACAAGCCAAAATTCAAAAGGCTATGAAAATGAGAAGATTTTTGTATCTCATCCGGTTATAAAACCTGAGCTGACCAGACCTAAATTCACTGGCAGGAAAATTTAACTAAAACTGATGTATAGTTATTTATAGTCTTTTTTATTCTAATTAGTGTGAATATTTATAGATTTCCCCACAGACCCATTAATGTTTTGATTACAGCATGTTACCTAAAACTTTGTTAGGTTTTTACTTAAGACATGAAGGCTATATCACAGCATTAGTTGTCCAAAATCCAAAAACGTTCTCATTTCATAACACATCTGTAAAGGTCTTGAATATGGGATTGTGAACCTCTTATCTGCCTTCACATTATATTCTATTTCTGCAAAGGAAGTCATGCTCCTGTATAAGATTTATATCCTTGCTTATATATTATAAGGGCAAATATTAACACAAACCAAAACAAAGAGGCTGCATTTGCCCCTTTGAAAATAAGAGGAGACTCCCCTCACTTTTCTTAGAGCATTTCCTTTAGAACATGTGTAAATTTTCTTTCTTTTTAAAATGTACATAAATCTTTTTAAAAGCTAAATAAGCTATTTCCCGACTTTAAGACTCAGTAATAGCTTTCTGAAAGTCCTGAGAGACATCTATTTAAAGTGTAATCAGCAAGGAAGACCAGACCACACCCCCATCTTTCAGTTTCTGTTGAAGAGTAGGAGCCTGACTTCAGTGGGCACTTTTAGAACTTAGAGTTCTAAGTTCTAAGTTATGTTGTCATAAAGACACAAGAGGTTTATTTTTCCTTTGCATAAAATCAATTCGCAAACAAAGATGACCAACCCAATTAACAGATGAATAACGGATGAACTAAGTGTGACAAACAGTCCTTTCAAGGCTTCTTACTTGAGAACTGGCTATTGTTTATCTTGAGAACATGAATCTCAATGAGTTGTATCTCCTAACTATATAAAAAGGTGATTTTGCTTTCTGAATTAAACCTATTGAATAATAAAACTGTTTAATTTTTCTATTTTGTGGAGAGGTTTTCTGGATTGGCTGAAGATTTTATTTTTAATGATGTTTCCTAAATAGTACCCTTATTATCTAACTTGGTTGTTCAATATGTCGCCATAGCAATTCTTTCTTTTTTATGATTTTTAAGTATTTTTTTCTTACTTGATCACTCTCATTAACATCATTTCATTTCATCCTGGTTTGTATGTTCTCCAACAATGATACTATCTTTTTGTTATTTTTTGAGTGAATTTGTTCCTTTCAAAATTAGATATTCTTCTCTTTGTGTGCCATTTCTACTAGACCCTCCAATATTAAGCTTTTGACCTCATCGCTCAACAACATTGTTTTTGTAAGGGTCAAGGATAATCTCCAACCGTAAATCCTTAGTTTTCACATTTCTTGTCTACTAGCAGTCTTTTACAAAAGTGATCACTGCTTTCTTGAAACTCTGTCTTGCTTTAAGGACGCCACCTGATGCCTATCTACTACTGGCCCTCTGTCTGGTGCCTTTCAGGCTCCTTTATCAGTTTTTCCTTATCTCCCAAACTCTGAACTATGAAGTGCCCTAGAGATCAGCCTTGTCCTCCTTATTAACTTGGTCTACTCCGACTTTCCTAACAGTTGCTTTCAAGCTTGTAGGTTGAGACATCACCTCACAATTTATATTCTATTTCTTAGAGAAATAAAGTATAGCCTTCCGAATATATTTCTCCAGTTTGGAATCCTCTCCTAAAATGCACACACATTCTCATCTGCTTGAGATCTAATAACCCCCTTCAACTTAATGTGTCCAAACTGAGATCCCATTCCTTCTCCCAAACACTGCTTCTCCTATAGACTTTCGCATAGAATTATTCAGTAACTCTTCACATTCTTTTGAATTCCATTTCTAATCTGTGAGCAAATCTTGTAAGAGATCTACCTAAATCTAAATAAGTGAAATCTAAATCTGTTTATCTAGTGTATACACCTTAAAAATCTATTTATCTAAATATCTGGCATCCAAAATCTAAATATATATATAAATCTTTCCAATTTTACCTCATGTTTAGTTATCATCTTGTACCAAGTCATCATCATGGCTGAATGATTTCTTCTTTCCACTATTGTCTTTCTGTACTTTGTTCACAAGACATATCACTCCATTACATTTGCCTGTACAATGTCTCCTCATTTCCCTTGAAGAATAGCAAAGAATCCTTACAAATTCCTACAGGGCTTATAATATTTTACACTGTGCTTAAATTCTGAAATTATCATCAACTATATTTCTTCCACACTTAACTTCTTCTGAAAATTTTTAACATATCAGATATTTCTTACCACCAATTTCAGCAGTTTTTTCTCAGACTTAGAATACCCTTCCTCTGCATTAATGTTGGTCTCATTGCTCATCTTTCTTCAGGGCTTTGCACAGATGTCACTTCATTAGAAAAGACATTCCAGAATGCTGCATACAAAATTAGACATGTTTCTTCTGGTGTGTCATTCCTGGTAAGCTCTCTTAGTGAACAGAATTGAGAAATAGGTAATACTTATTTCTCAACCTTTATCTATATCTATATGAATATCTATACTAATATCTATATTTGTCTTTATTAAACACCATAAGTTCACAATGATACTACCAATTCTAAGTAACATGGTACATTCTAGTCTACTCCTTTCCATAGTTATAACTCATTTCTCTAACAGTAAAAAATCTGTTTCCAATAATTTGTTATTCATTCTCTCTCTCTGTATGGTTTCAGAATCACTAATACCATAGTTAAAGGGAAAACAACTAAATTTCAATATTTTACAGTCGGATTTAAATGTACAGAAAGAGTGAAATGTATAAATCTTATGTGTACAATTTGATGAATTTGACAAATACAAATACCTATGTAACCTGACCCTATTAAGATATAGAACATAACCATAATCTTGGAAAGTCCTCCTGTTCTTTTCCCTGTCAACACACCCATACCCAAAGAAAAGAGTTTTTTATTTTATATTTTACTAAATATTAGTTTGTCTGTTCTACAGCTTCATGAAAATGGCATTATATAATATGTATTATTTTGTGCCTAGATTCTTTATTTCAGCATAATGTCTGCTAAATTCATGTATGTTGTTGTATGCTTCAGTAATTTGTTCCTTTTTGTTATTAAATATGAATATACCAATCTGTTTTTAATTTTTTGTTGATGAACATTAGGGTTGTTTAAAGTGATTGGCCATTTGAATACAGCTGCTATAAACATATTTGAAGGCTTTTTTGTGGGCATAGATTTTCAGTTTTCATAGATAAATAGCTAGGAGTTGAATTCTATGTCAGGGTAGCTTTATTTTTACATTTGTAACACAGCATCAAATCTTCTTTTAATGTGATTGCATCATTTTGCACTCCCACCACATATATAAGAGTTCTAATATTTCTGAATAGTTGCCAACATTTGTCAGAGTTTTAACTCTTATCAAACCTTGTAGTTTTGTAGTGGTATTTTATTTTGGTTTTAATTTAAATTTTCTTGAGGAAAAATGTTTATTTTCTTTGTTATTTTGCCCATTTTTATATTGCTCTATGTGAAGTGTCTGTTGTTTTTGCATTTAAATTACATTTAAATTGTCATTTTATTATTGTTACATAAGAGTTTATATCTATATATTTGAAATTTAAATTTTTTGTAAGATGTGCATTTTGCAAATAATTTTTTCTAGTTTGTGGTTTGCTTACTCATTTTAATAAGACTTAACAGTTTGTAAATTTAAAGATATTTGTTTTTTATTTTGCTCATTTAAGGATGTTGCTTTTTATATTTTTATAACAAATCTCTGCCTGTTCCCAAGTCATGAAGACATTCTCTGTGTTACATAAGTTCTATAGTTTGTGTATTGGGATAATGTATATAATGTATTCCAAATTAAGTTTTGTGTAGTACATAGTATGAGATAGGGGTTGAAGTGCTTTTTTCCCCATGTCAATGTATAATATTTTAAATATTCTTTATTGAAAAGCCTTACCTCACTGAATTGCCCTGGCCAAATATGTATGGATTTATTTCTGGGTTCTCTATTCTGTGTCTTTGATCTTTTTATCTATCATTATGTTAAGATGGCAGGCTTAATTATTATAGTTTTATGATATAGGCTTGAAGTAAGATAGTTCTTTTTTAATATTGATTTTTATAGATCTTTGAATTTCCATAGAGATCATAAAATCAGCTTGTCAAGAATTTTATAAGGAAATTCTGCTGAGATTATAATTATTATGACTTTAAATCTGTAGGTTAATTTTAGGAGAATTACAAATTTCAAATATAGTCTTTCAATCTATGAACATGGTGTCTGTCTCCAATTATTTAGATCTCTATGTTTTTCCTCAGAAATATTTTGTAGTTTTGCCTTTATAGATTTTTCAATTATTTTAAAAATATACCTAAATATTTAAGTGGTTAAATTCTATTAAGATTACTTTTTAGAAATATTTTTATTTTTTTATTTCAGAATATTACAGGAGTACAAATGTTCAGGTTATATATATTGCTTTTGTCCCACCCAAGTCAGAGCTACAAGTGTGTCCATCCCCCAGACAATGCATACCACACTGATTAAGTGTGAATATGCCCATCTCCTCCCCACCCCACCTGCTAGACACTTGATGAAGGTACTACTGTATGTGCACATATGTGTTGATCAATTAGCACCACTTTCAAAATAATCATAGACCCACAGAAAATCATAGGAATTGTGCAAAGTGTCCATCTTGCCCCAGTGATGACATTTTATAGTTGTATTAATATTAAAACCAAGAAAATGATGCTAGTACAGGCCATAGACCTTATTCAATTTTCACCATTTTAACCTGCATTAGTGTATGGATGTACGTGTGGAGTTCTATGCAGTTTTATTTTATGTATTTGTTTATGCAATCAACACTAAAATCAATATACCAAACTGTTTAATTACCATAAAAAAGCTCCTGCGTACCGATCTCATTCCATGGCAACCATTAATCTGTTTTCTATCCCTACAGTTTTGTACTTTTAAGAATGTTATATAAATGGAATCATATATAATATCATGTTTTTGATTTACTTTAAAATAATCTTGGCAATTGGTGGGAGTAGTGGGAATAAAGATGAAAAATGTCTAACCATAGTTGGTGATTGTTGAAACTGAGTGAGGAATCCTTAAGGGTTCATTTTACTGTACTCTTTACTTTGGAATATGTTTGATATTTCCCTTAATAATAATAAAAAATTAAAAGCTCTCAAAGAAGAGATAAAAATCTTTGAAGTAAAGGATGTTCAAAATAGAAGAAGGTGAGAGGACTGCTGCTCAAACTGAGAAAATACATGAGAGAAAATTAATTAGCTGTATCAAAAATCAGAATAAAAACAACCAGAGAAATTAAATAAGCATAATTGAAATAATAGTACAGGGTATTATAATTAACTTTGTACAGTTATCTTTAAAAATATTAAAATCAATTATTAAAAATAATTATAAAGCATATTATGTATAGCAAGTAGCTGAAATATATTAATTAAATTTAATTGCTAATCCTGAAGAAACAAATGCAAATATAAAATTAATTTATCACATTCACGTCATAGATTCCAAGCTTTTCCATAGTTAAAAATGTAATTGCAATTATATTTACTGTTAATACAGTGTATATTGTAGATTATTATTAACACAAGTAATGCTAATGCTGAACATAGGAAATATGTATGGAAAGATTAGCCAATACTGAAGTGTCTTAAAAATGGACAATGGTGATTTAAAAATAACATTCTTTTCAAGTGTAGCTGCAGGCTAACTGAGAAGGGATTTTCATCTAGATGATAGCAACTGCTCTTTGGATTTGTGACCCACTAGAATCAGACAGTGAGGAAAATTTCCCTTGGGATCATTACTCTAAAGCAGTGCATTCCAATAGAACTTTCTGCAGTGAGGGAAATGTTCTCCGTCTGTGTTGTCCATTATCTTAAACACTAGGCACAGGTGGTTATTGAGCACTTGAAAATTTTGTTATTATGACTGGGGGATTGAATTTTTAATTTAGCTTAATTTTATTCTTTTTCATGTTTATACATTCTTTTTATAATTAACTTTTTTTATTTCAGAATATTACAGGGATACAAATGTTTTGGTTACATAGGTTGCTTTTGTACTGCTTGAGTCAAAGTTATAAGTGTGCCCATCCCTCAGATAGTATACATTGTACCCGTTAGGTAATTTAAATTTAAACATTGATGTGTGGCTAGCTATAGTATTGGACAGCACAGGTCGAGAGGAATCCAAAAGCACTCCCTTTTGGTCAATTGATCTCAAATACCCAGATTTGGGGATTGGTCATGGATTTATTTTATTCTGTTCCAAAATTTTTTAGGAGTCTCTATTGTTAACTCAAAAGTGTTATTACATAAATCACATTCTTATTTTTTGCTACTATAAGCCTAAATGCAATCCCCTTGTATTTCTCATATTTATATTACTCAGTAGCTGCCTAAAAGGCACATATATAGCAAAATGCATGTAGCTATGCCTTTATGTTACGTACAGTCATGAAAAGGAAAAAAAAAAAGAATCAGCAGACAAAACTTCACTTGAGTCTTTTCTTGAAGGGGAAAGAATGTCTATGCTCATGCTGAAATTTCAGGTAAAAAAATTTTTTTAAATTGGCTTATGACAATGACTGTATAATACTCAAGTAGAGTTCTTGGCAACACAGCAGATAAATTGGCTTACATTCTTCAGTGATATATTAGGGCAGCCCTAAACCAACCTGATCCAATTTGGCTGAAGGAAGACACTTACCCCATGAGAATTTTGAAAGCGTTTAAGCAAGCAAAACTTACATTTTGCTATTATCTGCATTTTAAAATGTGCTCATTACTTAGCCTGTGAGCATATATAAGAGGCTAATTGCAATACTTAAAGAAAAGAATGGTTGAGTTTCAACTTTTCAGTCTACCTGCATCATCAGGCAAAAACCTGATTAAACAGATGGGCCTCACCCCATGACCCTTAAAATCAGTATTGAAAATTTGGAGAAATAAGAAAAGAAAGTGCCAAACAGTGTTCATTCTTCATGGAAAAATCCCCAAGGCACCTAAATATGCTACTGTTGAATTAGCATTACACTTCGAATTTGGCAAAGTCAAAAGAAACAATGTCGCAAAGAAGCTTTATTAGGGTTCCCTAAAATCCTGAGATATAAAAATTTTTAACATTTATTTTCAGTACACTAATCTTATTAATTTAAGAATAAACAAACGTATACATATCCTTAAAAGGCTATTTCATTGTTATCTTACATTACAAACTAAAATGAAGCATAGATATGACCCACATTGAAAGTGCCAATTAAAAAAAACCCCAAACACTTTATAATAGAAAGTAAATGGCAAAAATGCCATGCATGAGGTCCTGGGTTTCAGTGTATATATGGCTTAGAATGATCATCAATAGCAACTTAATTTCATATGGATAAACATTTCACA